ACGTACAGACACATATGTGTGTGGGGGGTGATGATATATTTAGTTTTGGATAACTTGATATGAGATGACAGTTCGCCTAGAGAAGGCACCAATTCACTTTTTCATCATGGACGAAAAAATTGCTGCTGATTGGAATTTTCACAAAGCACAGCTAGCTTGATGGTTAAAACATTATTTTATTTTCAGATGTAAACAATTCCTTGGAAGCACGTTCTGCCGTTTTGCACGATGGGCGCAGTCTGTATCCCGTAATTTTACATACGCAGTTGCATTTTAAACAATAGAAGATTTTGGAGAACAGCGAAGGGGGTTAGGTTGGCAACGGCAAGTGGGAAAGTCAGTACGAACGACGCTGCTGGAGTATTTAATTTCGAAAATTCTTCGTTTCAATTCTGGATTACGTTTGGGCAAGAATTTTCACACTGCAGAGATATGATGATGCAAACTGGTGCAATACGCATTTTTGAAGAAGGCATGAACTTCATTCAAATTAAGAATTTGAAGGATTATTGCCAATTAAATTAGAAATTCGTTGCAATTAAATTTAATTTGCTAGAAATATTCCTTCATATTTTTTATATCTTATATACACACTCTTTTGTAATAAAAATCGAAGCACCAAGAAGGACTTTTGAGATCGTGACGAAATTTGGTACGCAAAAACATCTTGATCGAACATGCAAATGATCAAAGTTTCAAGGCAAATGAACAGGAATTGCGATCATAGCGAGCATTTCCAGTGCGCCATTCGCAAGGTATAAAACCAATAACAGAGGCGGATTTTTTTTTTTTTTTTTTTTTTTTTTTTTAATGTTGCTGCCATTGTAATTGCGTAAAGAAGGAGACTAAAGATGCCATTACGACGACATCGAAGACCTTACAGACAACTAAACGACTTTGAACGTGGTTGCACTGAAGGGTTGCGTGAAGCTGGGTGGTCATACCGAGCAATAGGCCGTCACCTGCAGCCTACAGATCCTGTTGTGCAAAGATGTTGGCAGCAATGGTTGCTACAAAATGAAGGCTCTGGAAGGCCAAGAATCACAAATGCGAGGCAAAATAGGATGATTGTTCGCAAGGCCCGAACCGCCTCAACGACATCCTTGTCGACTATTCAACGCTCTACAGCTACGTCTATACCTCCCTTGGTACCGTCCACCATCTCACGGCACTTGTCTGGGGCGGGGTTACACTCACAGAGCCCTTTAAGACGTTTGCTTCTGACCCCACAACATCGACGGAGTCGTCTGGAGTGGTGTTGCAGCCGATCAATATGGCTGCTATCAGACTGGCATCGTATAGTGTTCAACGAAGAATCCCGCTTCATTCTTGAAGCAGATGACCACCATGTTCGTGTCTGAAGAGGACGGGACCAGCGGCACAAGGCATACAGCCATTACAAAGGCATACAGCCATAACGCCTAGGTAATGGTGTGAAGCTCTATTTCTTATGACAGCATGTCATCTTTAGTCATCCTCCGTACATCTTTAACAGCTCAACGATATGTTGATACCATCCTGCGGCAGGTTGCATTACCCTTCATGGCACGTCATCCTGAACCCATTTTTCAACAAGATAATGCCAGGCCACATACCGCTCGTATATCTCTGGACTGTCTCCGTGCGGTTGATACTCTTCCTTGGCCAGCAAGGTCACCAGACCTTTCACCAATCATGTCTCGGGCAAAGTAGGCCGCCAGATTCGGGCACACATAATATGGCTGATCTGCAGCAACAACCGATGAATACCTGGCAGAATGTGTCGCAGAATGACATTAGGAACCTCTACCAACTCCTTGCCTCTACGAATTCAAGCATGCATTGCCGCCAGGGACGGTAACCTCTACCACTCCTTGCCTCGACGAATTCAAGCATGCATTGCCGCCAGGGGCAGTTCGACCAACTACTAATTTGGACACTTCACGGGTGATTGTGAGCTGTGAACAGGTACTATGCCCTTGATTTTTTTATTATTTTATTATCTGTGTATGAGCTAAGCACATATTCCATTTCATCAAAAACCACCACTTCCTTCATGGTGCTTCGATATTTTTGCAAAAGAGTGTATATTTAGTGCGGGCAGCATTGTACAGATTATTTTTACATTTTTTTCTGAGCTAAAAAATGTAATAAATCGATTATGCTTTCATAATTGCGAGCAAAATATTTGATTCACCCTATTATGAGACAAGTTATCTAAAATTTCATTTGCGGCTTTCACGCAGGTAATATGTTCATAAACAATTTTTATACAAAGCGATTTGCCATTTAACGGCCAAAAACCTTACCGAATGTGATGCAGTAAAAAATGAGCAGCTGCAGGTAAATGTTTTTGGTGAAATTGTAAATATTTTGAGTTAAACAATGCTTAACTCGAAAAATGTAGACTTCATTCTGATTACTGCGATAATACTGAAACAACGTTATCTCTGCTAATACATGAAATGTTAAAGAAGCTTACAGAATAAAAATTTATTATTAGTCTGAAGGAATTTGAGTCTCGAAGGACTATTACTTTCGTTTTGGCATTTTGCGTCGGACTCCTATACATGTCGGTTTAGTTTTCAAACTGTTGCCACCAAATGCGTTAGAGTCCTGCATTATATTTGAAGAAATTAAATAATGAAAAAATCTACATTAATATATGTACTATATGTCTCGCATTGTGATAAAACAACGGTATCTAGAGCCATCCAGTTTTGAATGGCGTAATCTTACTGCGAATATGAGCATCTGAAATCCCAAATTTGAAATTTGGAATTTGTTTTATTATCGGTTTCATATTTTGTGGAACTTAACGAATTTTTGAGTAACAAACTCAACGATTTCAAAGCGAACAATGACGATACTCTATGGGGGGGAAAACCTTTTTATCTCTAGCGCGTCGAACTGTGTATCGGAAATTCTAAAGATAGGCTCATTTAAAAATTATTTTGCGACATTGCTATTGAACTAAATTTTATGGTTTAAGTGCAAAGAACATGATATTTAATAAATGAAGATAACATACAAAACGTTAAAAAAACTCCCCTTTGGATGTAATTTAAAATCCCTTTCATTTCTTCACCAGAATGCAAATGAGTTAGCTAGTTATTTAATCTGAATTTTTGGATTGTAAGGCAGAGAGTGTTTCTGGCGTGTGCGTGCACGGTAGGTTTAGTTCCCGCCAGCTATGGTAGTCGTAATTATTCGGATTTGAGATATTTCGTTGCCGGACAGTTTGATTTTGGTTTAGTTTGTTTTGGTTTACTGAATTCTGGCAAAGCACGCGAGAGTATCTGCCTAAGAGAAGGGATGCCTTTGTGGAGAACTTTTTAAGGGAAAATGGCTCGTATACACATTACATATGGGAAAAACGACGAAAACGTTCATGCACCTACCCAGTTAACCTGGAATCAAACCCAGATGGGGACTGCCAGTGTTCAGCGACTTTACCGCTAGGCCGATGGTGGGCCAAGGTTGGTTTTGATGCTGCTATTAGAATTACCGAGCTAGCTTAAATCAGATTTAAATTGTGTAGCCTTTTGTCTTCTATTATATATTTTAGCTTAAAATTGTTTAGTTACATCACGGCGAGCTGTGGTTGGTATAGGTAGCACAAAAAATTACATTTATGTTCTAAATTCCGTTTGAATAAAAAAAGGCCTTTCCATGACTTGTAATTGCTTTATACATAGCGATCATTCGCTTCACGTACGATAGAGATAACAATTCCAGATCAAATAAACCTCATAAGTAAAAGAAACAAAGTAGATTGACCGATGAGTATATACAATTCTCGATGAAGATGGTTTCTAGAGATGTTTTCTCCAATGTTGCATACTTTATCAAAATCGAAACGCCATGAGATTTTGTAGCTGAAACTCGTATTAAGAAATAATAAAATTTATAATTATTTACATAACAAATACATTGTGATAAGGTGGCATAAAGTTTCTTTGTCTAGGATGAGTGATTTCAGAGTGCAATATTTTTCATATCAGTGGTGAAATCCTTTGCCTCTGTTGACGATTCCGGTTGCAGCCTCGAACATCACTCTCCAGTGGACAAAGAGGTAAAAGAAGTCTTTTCATCAGGGGCAGGAGATGGACACTTTGTTATGTATGAGTGAAAGAATCATTACCCCCCGTGGGAGTTCAGCGCAAGTAAACACAGGGAGATATATAAGGTGGTTTCCTAAGAAGAGAGAAAAACTTTCCTGTCTAGAGCTATGGGCATGTTGGCCAGCTAAGAACGATCATTCCTCGTGTAAATGCATGAGAGCATTTTTCCTGTAACAAAATTCTGAAATTACGGGACCAAATATATCCAAGTCCCATATTATCAAGATATGCAACTATTAAGGTTTACATCTTATTAAAATTCATGTTCTTCAAGGAAAAATTTAATAAGTAAAAGAAATTTTATAAGTAAAAGAAAGTAAGTTTATTATTTTTTCTCCAGTTTGGTTTCATTTGGAAAGTTTTCGTATCATTTAAGTTAAAAAATAAATTAGTTAATGGTTTATTCAACATATTAGAATTAATTAAAACAAATGTTAGTTTGAATATTTTGTATTTAACTATAAATACATACGAATTACAGAGTGTAACCAACAGAAATTTTTTGTAGTTTAGATTTCAGGCAGAAAATAAATATAAATTGATTTATTTTTTTTTTCCCTTTGCGGCATTACTGTTTACGTATGTTTTCATAAATGTGTGGTAAATAAAGTTTAAAATTTAGTTAAAAAAATTGTTTTGTTAAAGAAACTTTTCATTTTGGTTTTTAAAAAAATTCGGCTCGCCATCTGCTTTAGGTCATGCAACTGGCCCGCATGCAATTTGAATCCGGGACCACTGCCTTATGTAATAAGTTACATTAGAAAATTATTTGTAAAAACAGTTAATTCTTCTTGAGGTATTGCTTCACAAGGAGAGTTGCAATTTGGTTTTGTTTGAATTATATTTGTATAAATATTTATTGATGTAAATACACAAGACATTTTCTTCTATGCATAGGCTGAACCTGATTCGGTTGTCGAGGTCTGGAAAGACACTTACTTGGATCACAAGATGGACAAGTGGGAGAACTATATAGTCCCTATAGCCCAGAAAGGGTACCAGATCATATTATCTGCCTGCTGGTACCTCAATTACATCTCTTACGGTCAAGACTGGAAGAAATATTACTTATGTGATCCCAGGAACTTTAGTGGTAAGGCATTTATTTCATCAATTTTTACTTTGATTGCATAATAGGAGAGTGATCAAGAAACATTCTTTTTACTAGCATTAATTTCATCATTTAAAAGCTTTAATACCCTAATTATCCTTACGAAATTTTTTATAGAATGTAACAAAATCTACAGAAATTCATATGGAACTCTACAGGAAACGTTTCTCGATAAAATTCTAAAGAAATTTTATAAAGCTTTCGCAGAACAGAATTCTATGGAAATGTTTTCATATAGAGATTTTATAAATTTTTTACAAAGTGGTATTCTACACAAATCTTCAAAGATTTCAAGCGCGATTAGTTTCAAGTGCGATTAGTTAAAAAATTAAAGTAACATTTTAAAACTTGATAAATAGACAAAATTAATAAGTGAAACCATTTTAAAAAAGATCAGCTAACTTAATTTATAATTTAATTTAAATCAAAATTTACGAAATATTTTTTCCTATTCTTTAGTTAAAACGAAGCACACACGTACAACCTCTCACTAGCTCTCTCAACTCTGCAACCTTTTCGGCGAGGCATTGGCTGTGTTTACGTAATTGGGTACTAGTGTTTGTGACACTAACCGGCTCCGCCATTAGTATAAGGCACTACCGGGCTTGAAATCATTCCGATCGTTGCGCTAGTAATCAAGGCGGTTAGGCCGCCTGTTACTGCTTTGAGTGGACATACTGTCCTTTATTATATACAAAATATTTAACAAAACACATTTACATTACTACATCTAGATTAATTAAAGAATAAAGCTATCAACTATATCTGTTGTTGACTTTTTTAAATATTACAATAAGAATTAGAATATATACATTTGATTGAAGGTCACATGTCTGGAGCAGGTTTGAGGAGCTGACTCATCTAGTCCTCGATGATGATGTCAGGTCTTGAGTTTACTTCCGTCATGATCTTGGTGATGCCTTTGACCAGGTAGTAGTCGTTGACTAGGGTGGACAAAGGAATGTCCCTGACGTTGTTAGGAAAGTGTCTTGCTCGGAGATCGTCTAACAGCTGGCAGTCGAAGATGTAATGAAACGCGTCCGCTTGATGTCCTGGGGTGCCGCAGGCGCATTTGGCTTGACGATTCAAGAACCTTCGATAGTAAGCTGGGAATTTCCCGTGGTTGGTCAGTGCCTGGGATAGATGGTGATCAGATCTTAATCTCTTGTAGCTGACTTTGTCAAAGAATAGGAAAGTGTGCCGTCCTTTGTCTTCTTCTTCCCAGCGTTCTTGCCAGACCGTGAGGAGGTAGTTGTCGATCAGCTTTTTTGCTGTTATGATAGAGATCGGAATGCTAGAGTCTACTTCCAATCGATTTGCTGCCTCTTTAGCAAGAGTATCAGCTGTCTCATTTCCTCTAAGTCCTGTATGACCGCGGACCCAGTTGATGTTTATTACGTGATCGGAATTTAGGGTATGTAGTAGTACTTCTTTCAGGGAGGCTATGTGCTCCGCCACTTTGCCTCTTTTGTTTAGTGCTTGGAGAGCACTCATACTGTCCGTATAGAATTTAATTTGAAGAGTTGATGGCTGATTTCCTGCCCATAGTGCCGCTTGTCGCAAGGCGTATGACTCAGCTTGAAAGACTGTAGCTGTGTCTGGGAGTCTATAGCACTCTGTGTGGATAATCTTATTGTCGAGGAAGGCAGCGAAGGCCGCTCCTATTTGGTTATTGATGCCTGAGCCATCTGTAAATATTTCTAAGTGCGAGCCATCCGGTTGCTCTTTTCGCCAGATTATGTTTCTTATTTCTGCTGGGTGCTTTGTGGCCTCATGTCTATATCTTTCTATAGTCTGAGATTGTACTATTGTGGTACCATCCAATGACGCGTCTTCCTGGTAGTGTTGGAGTCTGTATTGGAGCTTTTCTTTCTGGGCTTTGAGATCTAATGGCAGCTTGGTCTGGACACGAACGGTGTTCGTCATCCAGACTGGGCTTCCATATAAAATCATACGTTCGACTGCTCGTAGATAAAGGTCTTTAAGTAATCTTCCTTTGAGTTGCCATTTCACACTCATCATTCTATTGAGGCTATTCATTATTTTATTCGTGTTGTCTCTTACTGCTGTTAGGTGGGGGACCCACGTAAGTTTCTTGTCTAGGACAAAGCCTAAATACTTCATCGTATCTTGTCTTCGTAGGGGAACTCCATTCCATTTGATTCGTGGTGGGTTAGAGTCGATCTTTGAGCCTTTGGGAAATACAATCATTTGAGTTTTAGGGATACTGAATTTTAATTTGTATTTTTCGCTCCAGTTGGTTAGCTTGGTAAGGGCCATAGCTGCATTTCTTTCTATTATTGTTCTATTGCTTCCGGCGATGATTAGTATAAAATCATCAGCGTAGGCTTGGATGCTTGCAGTGCCCTCAAAGTCTATTTGAAGGGCGGTGTCTGCCATTATATTCCAGAGGACCGGACCTATGTTTGATCCTTGCGGTGCCCCTTTCTGGTAACTCTTTCTTATATTGACCCCGTCTCTGATATAGGTGACGTGTCTATTCGATAGGTAGGTAGCTGTCTATAATTCGGTAGAGATTTTGCGGGCATCTTAATTCTTTTAGTCTGGTCTTCAACCCCGGCCACCATAGCTGGTTGAATGCCTGAAGCAACATCCAGCGAGATGACGCAGGTGTAGGTGTGTAGGTTGTTCTCTTTGTTTCTTAGTATTGTCTTCTGCAATTGGTCGACTGCGTCTACCGTGCTTCGGCCTTGTCTAAACCCGAATTGATTTTCATTTAGTAGTTTATTGTGCTCGAGATGGTAGGTGAGCCGTTGCGTAATTAGCTTGTCTAGGACTTTGCCCCAGGCAGAGAGTAGGCATATCGGCCTGTAAGCGTTGGTTTTCGTCTTATCCTTCCCTTCTTTGGGGAAGAGCACGAGTTCTGCATTCTTCCATTCGGTCGGGAAGTATCCTCTGTGAAGGCAGTTATTTAATAGGTCTTGGAAGCCTACTTCATTTGCTAGGCGTAGTTCTTCTACTGCTCCTATGGTTAAATTATCTAAACCTGGGGCTTTCTTTTTCTTGACCGCTGCCATAGTGGCTCTGATTTCGGCTATCGAGAAGGGGAGGTCGTCATCTGTTTCTGGCGGGATTATTGAATCCTGTCTTATCGCTTTGTGAGTCTCATTGTCTTCTGTTAGATCGTCCTGCGGGAAGTGGTAGGAAATTATTTCCGTAATTGCTTCTTCCAGATTGGTTGTGAAGGAGCCATCTTCCCGTTCTATTCGGCTTATTTTAAGGGGACCTGTTCTCTTGCCTCTAGCAATTTCGAAAAATGTGCCAAACGGCGTATTCATCGTTATTTGTTCCCAGAAATCGTCCCAGTATTGTCTTTTTGTGCGGTAGATTAGTTTTTTGTACCGCGCCGCATATATTTTATATTTCTGCCTATAGTAGGCTCTGTCTTCGCTAGGCGCTCTTTGGAATCGTTTTCTTAGCGCTCTGACTAGTTTTCTTAGTTGGTGAATATCTTCCGTCCACCATGGGGTGTATCTTGCCCTTAAGGGGCCGGTTCCCTTGCTCTTTCTTGTTCGTTCATATGTATCTTGCAACAATTTCGTGGCTTCAGCGATGTGCTTGTCTATGTGTGCGTTACATGTTATCTTATTTGGTTGATAACTTTGAAAAATCTTTTGTCTGAATTCTAGCCAGTCTGTGCGCTCTACGTGTATTCTTAGGCTCTTTTTGATATCCTGTGGACCGATACATACCTCAAAGAGGATATTGTTGTGGTCGCTTCCGTTCTCGCTGTCGTCTATTCTCCAGTTCGAGATTTGGAAATTTTCATTTCTTTGTTTTTGCAAGGTGAGGTCAACCCAGGAGTTGCCTCTCGCTCCTGCGAATGTTGGGATGATTTTATCGTCGTTTATTACTGTGCATCCCGTGGCTGCGAGGAATTCGCAAACCTTTATGCCTCTGGGATCTGAGTATGAGGGGCTCCATATAGGATGCTTTGCATTAAAGTCCCCGCATATGATTGCTGTTAGGTCGCTCTCCATAATTAATTTTTGGAGTGTGGTGAGGAGTCCATCCAATTCTTGGGAAGGTGGACCATAGGCTGATACGATCAGAAACGGGTTTGCGGTTTCTATTCGTATAGCTACCGCTAATGGGTCGCTATATATCTCGCATACTGGTAGGTTAGTGTCTGTCACTATGATTGCTGTCTTTGCATTCTTTGCGTTGTGGTATCTTCTGTAGACTGATGGGAGACCGTACATTTTATCTTTGACTAAGTACGGCTCCTGTACGCATGCTATTTTGAATCTCGTGTTATCCGCTAAATTAATCTTTAGATTCTCTGTAGCACTCCGAGAGTGCTGTAAGTTAATTTGTATTATATCACAGTCCATAGTTTGTTCGGCTTATTTGTCTGTTTAGTTCTCTTATATAGCATGGGCACTTTGAGCTTCGAGCATCGTGAGTGGGACTATAACCCGCATTAAATTTTTGTTTGCTAGTAGACAGTTAACACATTGTCTTTCTTTTTGATCTGCATTCTTTTATTTCGTGTTCTTGTTCTCCGCAGCCTGCGCAGACTCGCTGGCTTGTGCAGTTTTTAGCACTGTGATTAAATCCCAGGCACTTTGTGCAACGGGAAACTTTAAGATATTCTTTTACACTATGGCGAGACCATTTTATGTTCAGTTTTGGGTTGTTTTGTAGCCTATTGAATGTGGCCGGGTCGACTGAGAGAACCCAGTGTTGGCCATGTCTTGAGTTCATTGAGAAAAGTGCTTCTATTTCTGCCTCATCGAATCCGTCGTTTTGTTTCTTTATAAGTTTAACTATGGTAGTTTTTTCTATGTCTTTATGTACATTATAGACTATGACTCGCGGGTTTCGCTTTGTCGGTAGTTTTGTTTCCATCATATTTTTGGTTTTACTGTTCTCTTTTATAGCTTCATCTAGAATGGCGAGATCGTCTTGTTTCGCGACTTCTATTAAAATTCCTCCTTTTCCTATCTTTTTAACATTTTTAACTCCTATCTTTAATTTTGTAGGGTTAATAGAGTTCACTAATTTAGTTTTTAGCTCCTCTGAGGTACACTCCGTGTCTTGTTTGGGATACACTAATAGGACGTGTTCTTGGGCATCGTCTCTTTTTCTGGATATGGGTCGTCTGGACACTGGTCGGTTTCTTTTTGCCGATCTGGATCTGGATCTGACTGCGTCCGCGAAGGTCTTCTTCTCAGAAGCTACGAGTCCCTGGACGTAATCCTCAAGATGTTGTGTCTGCTCCACTTGGCCTTCTAGCTGTGCTATCCTCAAGTTCTGCTTTGTGACTAAGTTAAGAAGCCCTAAAAACTCATCTCTGATTTTGTGTGCAATCTTTTTGGAGACTGGCTCTTTGGCCAAAAGTCCCTCTAGGTTAATTAGGCAATTACGCGCCTCTTTTATCGTGGAGAGATTCGGAGAATCTTCCATTTCTTTGTCTTCATGACCTGACTGTGAGTCTGTCCTAACTGTTTGTGGAGCTGCTACTGACTGCAATCCGCTGTCAGGACCTTCTGGTCTGCTTAGCTCCGTGTTTGGATCCTTATCCGACTGCACTTCGCTGTCGGGACCTTCCGGTCTGTTTGAGTGATTCTCAGAGGGCCCTCCGGCTTCTCTTTTGGAATCTTTGGATCTCGTTTTTCCCGTCATCGTACCTTGTACTTGTACTTCGTACGAGGGGTGTAGGGATTGTGACCTAGCTCTAAGGGACTACTACATGAACCGTTAAGGGCCCAACTTACGTGGTAGCTGCTGTTCACAGAACCGGTACCCTGGGGTTCTCACCGGAACTGTTACTTAGCGGGTGGAGTTGCTTTAGACCCTCTTGCGAGGGAGCCCCCAGACCACGACAAGGTCCAACTCCACACGGGATTGCGACCAGCAAATGACCGCTAATTGACCACGTTTAAACTCAGATAGTACTGGACGGCACCCGACGTTCTTTCTGAGATGGGCCAATTAACTCGCTTTGAATTTCACAAGGCTCTCGCGCATGCAAAAGACAAAAGACTACTGGTATGTATCGCATTCCCCCCTGGGGGTACGTAATTGGGTACGTCATAAAAGTCGTGATTAGTGAAAATTCTGATAAAAATTTTTAAAAACCAATGCGTAATGTGAGTGTTACTATTTACTGCTGTTGCAACTAACTTCTAGCTCCTCCACTTCCAAACAAAGTTAAATTTTTATTGCGAAAATTCGTAACTGAAGGGGTAGAGTTCTTTTTTTTAAGCAAGAAAGATGTAAAATTAGCAGTGCCCTCGCCGGGACTCGAACCACGAACCTCTCGAATACTCGACGAGCCACCAAGGAAGAACGATAAAAAAGCGAAAAATACCTTATATGCTCCCCCTTTTAAAGGCCGACTGCGAATTAGGGGACCCATTCGCCAAATCCTGGAGGTGGAGATTCATCATCCACTAACGTTTTTAGTTAGGGCGCTACTGTAGAGTCATTTTAGAATTTTTTGCAACAAAGAAATCGAAGAAATGAGCAATGCCCTCGCCGGGACTCGAACCACGGACTTTTCGAATATGCGTCGTGCGTTCTGACCACTACACCACGAAGGCATGCTAAGAAAATGGAAGAAATACCTTTTATCTTTGGACAAGTACGAAAGAAAATTAGTCAGCTCTTTACCTTAAAATTTTTGAATAATATTTATATCACAGTGTAAACTAATTATCCCTATTTGTAGACTTTCTGGGGCTTTACTCAGGTTTAATTTTATCGGTAAAGAAAATAATGTAAAATTAAACTCAGAATTATTAAAATCTTAAACCTGGCTTCAATTTCTTGCCATAAATATCAATAACGCTTTTTAGTTTATTTCTTTTTTATGTTATCATTTCAAAATATGTGTTCTTAATTTATTTATTAAATATACCAGAATCTATTTTTGATGTTCTTCATTCTTCGTTTTTCTTGTTCTTTTTTCTTGATGTTTTTCGGCTGGAATGTCCTTGTTTGAGAAATAAATCATACTTCAGTTATATCCATTCGCAAAAGAGAAATTTTAATAAAAGTCACACAAGTTCATGCTAACTTTCACATTTGTTCCTTGCAGGTACGGAAGAACAGAAAGATCTCGTAATTGGAGGTGAGGTCTGCATGTGGGGTGAGTATGTGGACGGTACTAACCTACTGCCCAGACTGTGGCCTAGAGCATCAGCAGTTGCCGAAAGACTTTGGAGTCCTGCGACTCTAACTGATGTTGATAGTGCTGCTTTCCGTCTTGACGAACATAGATGCAGAATGCTCAGGTGAGAACCATATTACTTAGAGCGAATTCTATACAAAGTTTAAAATTAAATTTTGCAGAGTCTTCAACTGCATATAAATTTTACAAAATTCTTTTAATATAAATTATACTCAATTATAATTGTATGTAAGTAAAAAAAATTATGTATACCTCTGAGATGAAAAGGTATAGGCAGCGATTTTATAAAACACAAAATTTCTATTTATTGCATCCACTCCAAAGAAATCTCCTTTGATTTCAGTGCGCTTTATACCAACACTTTTTCCAATCCTCGAAATATGTTTCGAGGATTGGAAGTCGTTTCTGTGAAATTCCTTTAGCACTCGCAGAAAAGTTTCTTTTATTACATGAATAGACTCAAAACAATAACTATTAAGTGGTAATATCTCAACAGTGAAATGGAGACAATAATTCAAAAACAAAGGAGCATTGTGAGTAAAAATATTATCACTGTACAAAATCTATCAGTTATATTTCACTCAGTCCATCAGTTACAGGATCCGAATGATGTAAGAATTTGTTCGATAATATCTCTACTCTATTAAGTTGATGATAGTTAAGCACCAAATCGATGGGTGAATCTATTTCTAATTAATTCAAGTGGATGATCTACCAGAGCATGAATCATCATGCTTTGTTTTCTCTTAATAAAATATATCACTCTCATAAAGCTCTGATAAAAATGATATCCAAAACCTTTTTGAAACGTATAAAATGCCTGAAAGTGGTTGCAAAAATGTTAATGCATGTTCTTTGCTCAGTTGCATTCTTCTTACTAGGAAATGACCAAAGCAAAAAGTCTGTCCCTGTTATAGTTCGACCGCCTCTCCGCGACCATGAGCGCGAACACGCATGCGCCATTCGGACCGAATTATTCTCAAAATAGGGTGGAAGGATGGGGACTTTTTTCCCCTCCAACATAGCTCTTTCCGGAGAAGAGAAGACCTTTCACGCCGCAGCAAGTAATACCGCCCCTTTTGGACGAGTTTATGTGTTTTGGCAGAATACCAACCAGGGTTGCGCTTGAGATGGTCGAACTATACCGGCAAAGTATGAAATTCGGTATTCTACAGAATACCTAGGCATTTTATAGAGTGCCCGAAACTGGAGGGCAGTGTATGGAACGATTAAACATTTCACAAATTGCTTAGACATTCTATAGAAAGCCAAATGACAAACCGGCAATGTCTGAAATACATCTCCGATTCATTTCGAATAACCGAAACTACTTACCAGAAGTTAGTACATGATGTAAAAAACGCCAAAATGATGACTAAGAAGAAACCACAAGACTATGAGTTGCTGAATCGCTATTATGTGATATTTGTGGAAAACAAAAGTAAATTCATTTATCATAATAAAGAAGGCGTCAGTGCTACGCAGATTTGCGTTACGGACACTGAGTTATTTCACGTACTTCATGAAATTCATTTGGCTACCGGACACGAAGGACGTGACAAAATATCGAAAAAACTTTCAAGCAAATACAGAAACGTTATACGGAATGATATTGAACTGTAACATCCAATTTCGCGGGTCCTGTAAAAAAAAAAAAAAAAAAAAAAAAAGGTATTGAAAAGAGCATTACTTTGTGAAACTTATAGTTTTTATTGAATTTAATTCCCGTAGTCAGATAGATTTTATTGATTTTCAGTCTACACGAGATAAAAGTACGAATTTGTTATGGTGTACCAAGATCATTTTGCTAATTTTGTTTACGTGTTTTGAATAAAAGATTTCGAATGGTAGTCTGTCATTATTTTTTTCAAAATAACATTTGCATTTTTGAGAGATGAACATCTTTTAAATAATAGCTTTATCATGACACCCTCTTTCCTAGTGTGCCTTCGTGGTGTAGTGGTTCTGCACGCTGGGCCGGTATTCGATTCCCGGCGAAGGCGATTGCATATTTTTCATCTCTCTTGATTTAAAAAAAATCCTAATGTCTCTACAGCGGCGCCTGAACTAAAAGGGTGCTGGATGATGATTCTCCACACCCAGGATCTAACTTGGGTTCCCTGAAAACCCCAGTCGCCCTTTAAAAGAGACAGTATATAAGGTATTTCTCCCGCCTTCCTAGCATGCCTTCGTGGTGTATAGTGGTTCTGCACGCTGGGATGGGATTCCAGAGGTCCTTGGTTCGATTCCCGGCGAAGACGGTTGCTAATTTTTCATCTCTCCGGCTTTGACAATTAACCTAATGTCTCTACAATACAATAGTTCTCATATTTCATACTTTGACCGAAAACGTCAGGCACTCTCTAAAATGCCTACGTATTATTTAAAATGCCGATGTTTGATACATCGCAGATAATATATACATTAAAAAATAAATTTATTTGTAAAGGAATGAAAGGAGATGAAATACGGAATGTTGCCGGATGTCTCGGAAAATCTTTAAAAACATTGCAACAGACTTCTTGCTCTATCAAATTTTAAATGAATCATTCCTGATACGCTTTGATCAAAGAAGTCATTTTAATTATATGAAAGAGAATTTTTTTTAATTGTCTAAGAACGCAACTCAACGTGTCTACGAATTATTTTTCTCTCGTAACTTATAAATATTTGGATATTTTGGAGTACATTTTCAAAAACTACATAAATTTCACATTTTATTCAGTAAATTATAGCTACATTTTTTAAAACGTTATGCGAGTATCTACAATAAGCAAAAATTTGTAAATTCGATCGCTTCGAGTTATCGACTGGCAAATGGGCTGATAACCGCGATGCTAAGAATGTGCAACTTCCTATCTTGTTTAATTGATAATTGGTAGGAACTTACCGAACTTATCGAAACTTAAACTTTTTATTCTTCATTTTGTCGATCCATATTCCAATTCGAAACTTGAACTGAATAAGAATACTTGATTTTTAAAAAAAGCGAACATAGCATTACATTAAAATTATATTTAAAAAATGTTAAAAAACAAGCTCAGATTAGAGAAAATTTTAAATTAAATCTATCGATTTCCATAATGAGCTGTCTTAAATCCTTCTTGTTCACAAAGAGTAAGTCTTATTGGCTATTGATAACCTTGCTTGGTGTTTCTCAGTTCTAATTTCATCCACTTATCATTGGATTCAAGCAAAACGTTTTCCTCATATATGAACAATAACTTGGACGATTCAGCTGCTCCTCTGACTCAGCATAGACTAAGAAACGTTATACGGAATGATATTGAACTGTAACATCCAATTTCGTTATACTGCACTTAAAGAGACAATTTTGGTACTGCTTCTCGTTTAATAGCCAAGGTTCTTCTTTCAGTTTTCCTCACTTTACAATATGAAGTCCCAAAGGACACTGCGCTAAACACTAGTTTGTTTATTCCATCGGCAGGACTCAACAGGCTTAAGAGCACCTGACGCAGTTCGCTAACTGTTCTGTCGATGGTGAAAAGAAAAACAAAAACAAAAAAAAAATAATAATAATAATAATAATGGAAGATACTGGCCTTCGAAATGCTGCCTTCCAATTCTTTAAGTTGACGCTGTTGTCCATAAATTCGCATAATTAGCATCAAAGTATTTCAAAACTACTGGACAACGTATAGTGTACGGATCACTCGAAATATAGCATCAAAGAAATGTTTCAACTTTTGCCACAACGTAACGTTTACTCTTTTCGTGGAAACAATAAGATTCACCTACGTGTCTGAGTCATTAATTTCAAAATCCGAATCTCAAGATAATACTAAATTGAGTAAAATGACAATTCTGTATGAAATTATAAAATATTTGTTTAAAATAACTTTGTTTCCAGGCGAGGTATTCCGGCGCAACCAATCCTCAACGGTTTCTGTGGAGATTATGAATGGGACTTTGAAGAAGATGCTCCAGCTGTTCAGGTATAGTAGAAACAGTCATTTACATCTAAACAGAGCAGCCCTAATTTTTACATTTTTTTTAACCTTTTAATACCTTAGTTTATGCTGTAATCTATAACATGCAAAGAAAAAGAATTTACGAACTGGATTATGCGTATAAGATTTTAATCAGATTTTACAACCGAAATTGTTTTAAGCAATAGTCCCTTCACTTCTTGCGGATAAGCGATAAGCGATAAGCAACGGAGGACGTGGGCACTGTCCCTTTACCAAAAGGTTAATCGGTATAGCACCACGTCCACCTATATCTAGAGCCTAAAGAGGAATCACAAGACGCCACGCGCCGGGCGCCCAAACCCAGAGCCAAATTCAACCCGGGGGCAGTCCAACAGACCAAAAATGCCCACGAAAGACAGTCCCAACAACCGCCCAGGCCCCACATTTATTAAATAAAATAACAAAAGCATGCAGGGCCAAAAAGGGCGAGTTTGGACAATAAGCAAAAATTTTACAAAGGTGTAATACACACAAATAATATAGAATATACATAAGCTAAAGTACAGTCTGATGTTGGGCAGCCCAATAATATACAATGAATAAAATATAGACAGTAGAATTAGACTTAATGACAATATAACATAAAATAGAGAACATAGTGAAATAATGAATGTAAATGATTACAGCATACAGAGAGGATATACCAAAAGAAATAAAAATAAAAGAATACAATGTAACAGAATGCAATAGCGGTACAATACACTTGATCACGTGGTATTGTGGGAAAAAAAAACATGCAATAAGGCTAATTATACGATTATGAGGAATAAAAATAAACATATTTAGCCTGCATAAAAGTTAACGAATATAAGATACTATACAATACTATACAATATTACAATACAATACAATACAAAAAAAAATTAACATATTTAACCTGTACTAAAAGCCAATTGATATAAGATACTATACAATACAAAAAAAAAAAAAAAAAATACCATAATACGATACGATACAGTAGATACTATACAATACTATACAATAGAAATATAAAATACATTCAGTGTTGGTAACACAAATATACATTTAAAATTATCATGACACTTGTGATCCTTATGCAGCAAATAAATTGATGCAAACAGTTAAATGTGTTACTATACATTTGCAAAGGATGAAATATAGACTTAAGTATGCCACAAATTATGAACATATATTATACCGTGAAAAACACAAAATACATTCAATGTTGGTATAAATACAATGGATATATTTAAAACAATGGATAATGGTTGGATATATTATACAATGAAAATCTCTAGCGACCCCAATACATTCAGTGTTATTATTACACAGAGAATTAAATGAATGATATTACATGGGCAATTGATGAAAAGAAGACAGTAACAGTATAATGTATAGTCAAATATGCAAGTATATGGTATACCGATGTTTAACAGCAACTGGCAAACAATGTACCATTAATACGCCCAACTAAATATGCCAAGATATTATATACTATTATACAGTGAAAAACGCAAAACACGTTCAATGTAGATATTATCATAGTGCATTATGAGGGAATACAGACAGTTATATGTTTGATAATACATGGGCAAAAGATAAAAATAAAGACAATAACATTATTATTATTCATAGGTAAATATGCAGTTTATACCAGGGGTTCTCAACCGGTGGTACGCAAGACAAAAATAGGTAACATTATATAATACTTTGCAAAGAAGCAAAGTATTTTTAACTATAAAATTCAAAAATTAAAACCTCAACATCCTGATTGAGTTTTTTCTCTGACACTTGTAAATTTATGCAATCTGAGCTTTGTTCAAGAGTGGTGGCGGTGGTAGTAGTAGTACTTTGTAGTAGTGGTACTAAAGGTTTTCAATTTTTGTTTAGGTGATACGCGTTAGACAAAAGGTTGAGAACCGCTAGTTTATACTTTTACAAAGTTTACTTAAAAAATTAAGTTTACTTAAAAACTTACTACGTCGACAGACGTAGTATATTGTATGAGTATAACTTACACATGTTTGGCAGAAAGGATTCTAATATCTATCGTGATGCTTACAAGTCTATCTGCTAATGCAAAATAACTTAGATAGCGAGGAATTTATATCGAACTGTCCATTATTCTTGTAAATGTAATGAAATGTTATATATCATATTAACACGGCATTACGTTCATGTGCATAGAAACCATACTAAAGAAATTGTTAAAATTTTTCTCTGTATTTATGAAAAATGAGTTCTGTATTTATGAAAAAGGCGCATTAACCTATAACTGCATAATAAACAATGAATAATACTATTGCTTTTGCATCAAATTTCGCTAAATTAATACTTTAAGGTAACAATACTTCCTTCAAAATACCTATAAATACACTCTATAACATTATAAAGTTCTAGTTAATTTACGTGTCCTTCGCTACTAAAACTTTAGGGAAGTTGTCTAGCGACTATTCGCTGGTCTTCTTACAACTATAAAATAAAAGTACAAAGAAGGGTTAAAATACCCTTTTATTCACTCAGAGAAATACTATCAGACTTAGAGGCTCTCGGACTTAGAGAAAAGCCTCCACTTGGGCTTTAACTTAAGATAGAAAATAAGAAACTAAACTAATTCTAACTAGCTAAACTTTACCCGAAGCTGTACAAAGGTAACTAACTGAATTGGCCCATACTTACACTTCCCTAACAGGCACGTAGGACTACGGCCGTTCGTAGTAAGATAGGCTTAAATAGCAACGACGTGGCCCGAAAGCAGAACACGCTTTACTGAGAACTTACCGAAGTAACTGAACTTCTCATTAAATACTGGTTCTGTTTCATTTACATAAAACGCGATTCTCAAATCTCATTCTGGAAAGGAGTTCTAGCTGAAAAACAAGAATTTAACGAAAAGGGTTTCAAAGTTTAAAATAACTGTTAGAAAATTAAAATAATCCCTACAGCATAAAAAGCGACGTACCAGAAATAAGTTATTCGAATGGGACGAAAATCGAAGAATGGGGTGTCCATGTAAAAACACAACAATAAAATTATCATAGGAATTGAATGTTTTATTTAGGAAACACGGCTGCAAGATAAAAATAAAGTCAGCAACGCGTTGGCTGACTTTGTAGAGTTGATGGATGTCCCTTTGCGAGTTTGCTATACACGTTCCAACTGGCGAGTTAGATCCATGCGATTCAAAGACGGTAGGCAGGTTACTGAGGACAAGCACGCCTGGTGTCTAACAGTGGTAAACAGGCATGTGTCCCACGTCCTACTCTATCTAGAGCAATAGCTCCCTGGAGCCCCACGAGGCTGCATGGGGAGTTTATTGAGGTTGTCAAAGGAAAAGTACGTGGCCTTACAGGGGCATTAGTAGGATTGTATTGCAGATTTGAAGAGGTAAACTATGGTGTTACAGATGGTAAGTAGTTAACGTAAAAATACAAAACGACATACACATAAACAAATAATACACAAAACACAAAGCACAAAATGCATAAACACACAACACATAAAACAGGTACATACACATAATCACATAAAACACAAAAAGACATACATACATACGAGACATACATACATATACATTCGTATTAATAGTCATGAATGAAGATAAGAATGCACAGGTACATACAGGCGAGAAAGGCACGTGAGAATGTAGCGTAAATGACGGTAGGGACGGTAGGAGACCCCGGTTATCAGAGCCCAAGTGTGCTATGTTGGAGAGTGATCTGGCCAGGGAAATTTTGGAGAAGCATGAAGACAAGCAGTAGAAAGGCGTACCGTGTTCGGCCGGCCATTATCCCGTTGAAATGTAAGCCTCGGAAAATTTAATAGATAACTCAGATAGCTCAGATAGAAGATAGCTCAGAGCTAAACATATAGTTTTAACATATAGCTAAACATATAGGTAATTAAGGTGACATATGAATCTTTATTAAAAATAAATGTTTAGAAATTTTTACTTGACGATTTTAAACTTAGGGTAGGGAGGGGGAGAGAATAATGAAAATTAAAGAAATATTTTATTTTCCCTTATAAAAAGAGTTAATAAATGAATCTGTACCATTTCCGCCGCTTCGTGTTTTAGAAAGTAAAATGTTATAAAGAATTTTCAGAACTAAAGGTCTTCAAATTTAAATTAAATCTTTATTAAAAATCGTAAAGTCTTTATTTTCAAATTTAGAAAATATTTATTCTTCAAACTTAGATTGTAATCCTCCTTTTTTTACTTCTACCATTTTTAGAAAAGTAAATGTTACAAAATAATTGGAAATAAATATAATTAAAGGATCAATCAAAACAATTAAAGGATATTGCGGTTTTAGGTGGATCTTGTGGCTGGGGAAACCTTTTAGCTGATTGATACATGGTCGACAGACGTAGTATATTATATGAGTATAACTTACACATGTTTGGCAGAAAAAAATGCATTTTATTGCGCATTTGTGTACAAAAGGAAAAAAACACAGTTTGTTCATATGAGAAAAAAAGAATAAAAAAAGGTGTTTTCGTCAAAGGAAATCATTTTCAGTAGGGGAATATGGTTTCCACGGACGGCCAGCAACGTTAACACCTTTGAGGCATGGAGTCAATGAGGCTATTAATCACAAGTTGGGGTATTCTGTCCCACTCTTCCAGAAGAGCTCTTTCTAGTTCTTGGAGAGTTTGTGCGGGTGGTTGGCGGCCAGCAACTTGTCTTCCTAGAGCGTCCTAAACGTGCTCTATTGGATTCATGTCTGGAGAACACGCTGGCCATTCCATTCGTACGATTCCTTCCTCGAAAAGGAAATCCTCCACCAGGTTAACACGATGTGGCCTGCAGTTATCGTCCATTAAAATGAAGTCACCTCCGATTGCTGCAGCGTAAGGGACTACAATAGGTCTGAGGATCTCATCCCTATATCGGCGACCAGTCAGAGGTCCATCTCGAATGATGTAGAGGTCTGTGCGCTCGTCAATGGAGATGCCACCATACACCAACACTCCCCCACCGCCAAATCTGAGACTTTCGTGCACGAACGCAGGATTATTCCTACTGCCACGGTCCCTCCAGATGAAAATAAGCCTATTATCAGGATGAACACAAAAACGGAACTCGTCAGAAAAAAGAACATTGCTCCATTCATTTCTCCTCCAGTTCACATGCTCTGTTTCCCACTCCCTGCGGTCGCGACGATGCCTTGATGTTAGTCTAACACATACCATCGGTCGGTAAGCCTACAGACCTACACCACTGAGCCGGTTTCGGACAGTCTGAGTTGAAACCGTGGTGCCAGTAGCCGAGCGAAGGTGTTGTTGGAGAAGGGTAGCATTCATATTTCGATGTCTCCGAGCCATTAACACTAAATAACGATCTTCTTTGGGCGCTGTTGCTCGTCTACGACCTTGCCTTGGTCTTCGACCTGCACTTCCAGTTTTCAAAAAACGGTTCCAGATCCTGGAAATCAAACTTTGTGACACTCCAATGGCTTGCGCTACTTCGGCTTGAATTTAACCCCCTTCTAACCTACCAACAACTCTCCAAGCTTCTGAATCGGTTAAATGACTTCGCTGAGACATCGTACTCATCAAAACAAAGCAGTCACTGAATGCCGATCATCCTTGTCTTCATTGTCTTTTGTTCAGTTGTCAAATTTTATTCTTTTGTTCAGACAGTCAAATTTCATTCGCTGCCGCTGAAGCGACGTTTTTGACGTCGAACTCAAAATTAGCATACTCCACAGTTTGAAAATCAGAAAAATTTGCATTTGTGATTCTCTTCTTCCACTTTCGGCAAAAAAAAATTTCACTTATATCTTTATTTTATATAAAACTTACAATATCCTTTAATTGTTTTGAGCAGTTTAGAATAAAAAACATTTTGATGTTTTCATTAACATTGATTTTTTTATTTATCTCGTGTGGAAACTGAAGATGACGAGCGATTGAGCTGCGACTTCTTTTACTGTGCTTTTTTCATCGAACAGGACCATTTGTTGAATCAGGAAATAATATTTAAAAAAAAAAAAAAAACATTTTTTGCCCTTTTTCACTCCACTCTACTGTGCATGCTTCGGTGAACATTAGGAGATACGGTCTAACTTAAAAAAGTAGCATAAAACTATTTTATTTGAAACTTATTCGAATTAAATTAATAAATTATAGATTTAATTATTTTATTTAATCATAATATTATATGTATTCATAATACTTTAAGACAGGTTGTATTCGAAGTCAAATAAGAAAACATTTTTATTTTCATTAAAGCAAATTATAGCATTATGTATATTTTTCTGTAATTTTTTATTCAAAAAATATGTATTTGTGATTTCGTTTTTCATTTTTATCCCAAAATTACATTTATTTTCCTTAGGCTTCTGACGTCACAGCATAAAGAAGCTTGTTGTTCACGCTGTAGAAAGAGTATCTCAAAAACTTTGGAAACAGTGGACATTTCTAATGAGATAAATGTTCTCTCTGAGAAGTATGCATGGAAATCTTCTGTTAATTAGAAAATCAATAAATCTTTTGATTTCTTTTAAAGTTATTAGTCTTTAAATTCTCTTGCTTGACTTCATTCTTTTAAAAACTGAAGACCTTCGAGTTTATTATACGAATACTAAATTAAAACACAAGATTTTTTTTCTGAATAATATAAGATTACGAAGTATTCTGTTTTCAACTTTTATTATCAGGGAAGATATTTAATTCCTTCGATGTAAAGAAAGCCGAAGAGATGAGTTTCTTTTGTGTGTGTGTGTGTGTGTGTGTGTTATTAATTTCTGTAAATTGACTTGCATATTAAATATGCAAGCCAGTTTACAGAAAGAAAATGTGCATGTTTAAGATGTTAATGCTGTACCCTTATTATGATAATTTATTCTGTCAACAAAACGCTAAATTTCAATAAAAAGTTCTCATTATTTAATAGCCTTTGCTATTACATTAATTTCCTTATGTTAACGCAGGTTAATTATAAAAATATTCATTTCTATCATTTCATATTAATTCATTCATTCATTATAACACAGATGATAGTTATTTTTTAAGAGGATCAGAATGCTTTTTTTAAAATTTCTTCATTTTATCACCTATGTGCTAAATATATATTAGAAATCAGCTTATTGATTAATTTAATGGGAAAATGGTTGATTTTCAAAATTCTTTGAATTCTGGTCACATTTTTCAAACATGTCAAACATTCCAATATTTTTCAAAACATGAACACCTATATGCAAATTAAGTTTCTGTGTGGAAATTGTTAGTTATTATTTAGTAAGTCACATAGGAACTGATCGTGAGAGGTAACTTTATAAACAGGATTTTAAAACTTTTAGAAATCTCAAAACAATAATCCTTCTAAGTATCATTATTTTGTACATTTATATTTTATCTGCCTACTGAACTTTAATAGCTAATATTTTTATCATCACATGTGATAGCAGATAGATAATCAAATATATAGATAGTTAAATTCATATATTTTTGCTACAGAATTATTGAGAGTTAAAGTTTGAAATACCTTTCTTGCAATCTGTAAAACGGAAAAAATAGACTGGCCAAAAACTGTAAACTTTTTCACCAACAACTTCGAAGTTGTGAAAATTTTTCTGTCGTGAATCATTAAACGTTGAAAATTTTTTCTGATACCCAGCGGAAGTAACTAAAATTTAATGTTAATTAAATAGTCTGATTATTTTTAAAAACTTCTAGAAAAAAGTAAGAACTTTTCTTCCACGCTCAGCTATGGTATAGTTTAATCTATGAATATTAAAAAATTCGTATCCTTTCGCCATGATGTTGCGCTCTAAATGCCGACGCCAGGTAGTTAGTTAAGTAATTAAGAGATATGTGAGGAAACGCCCGAATACTATGAAAGCAATAACTTCCCCTGTAATGCCTTTAATTAATTACACAGTATGAAAAATTAGCCTACGTAAAGCATATTTTTTCTAGCCTTTAAATCAGCAAATATTTCTTGACATTTTTTACATTTATTTCCTTTGCAATCCTCTATTTTCCGTAGATAAAATTGACAACGAATTTATTCTGTCTTGAGACATGGATACTCGCCAGCAGCCACAGTAATTAGGTTCTCTAATATTCTTAATACAAGTCACAGATTTGGCATGGCATCTTGTAACTTGTGTTTATGAACCTAGGGGGCTTCTATAAAAGCTTTACATCTTCAAGAAATAATTCTTTTGAATATATTTGCAATATGAAGTTCAGTCAGGATTTTAAATGCATTAATATCTCTATTTTCTTGGTACCTTTAATATATTTTCCAAATCGCACTGTGCGTTTACTTTTATCTCATATTTCTTCGAAATCTCTTAAAAATCCCCGTGTGTTATTGAAATTTTGTAACTTTTCAAATCGCTCTGCTTTCTAATAGCTATAACTTAATAGCTTTGTCCAGTATTGCAGTGAACACATTTTAAAATCTTTCTTCTGAGTCATTTGCATTTTTCTCTTCAGTGCACTCATATTCAAAGAGCCTCTTTCTTTTTCTTAACCTTTTACTTCTAAAACTGCACTTCTACGTCTAACACTGTAGTTAATTCTTTTGCTGACTCTGGTGCCTTTTCATGCCCATTTTCCCGATAATCAATTAAATAATTACCAACACAATTCATTAATGAAATTGCTGTAGATAGTTTCCCAAAGGTATTCTGCGTACTTTTATTGCTAATTTTTATCCTGCCTCAGACATCATACCAGACATTTATCATCCCTAGAAAACAGTAACCTTCTGTTTATTTTACAATAATCTCTGCCAAATGTAACACCCCTTTCAGATGCAGGCATTTCTGAAAATTTTTAAAGAGCGTCTCGGATTTCCATGATTTCCTTCTATGGTTGTGCCACAGCCTATTGTGCGCCCTTACCTAGTCTCGCCTAAATAATTTGCATAATATGTTTTTTCAGTGCATAGAAATGCGCTGTACAGTACCAAAAAAAAAAAGAAAAAAAAAAAAAAAAGCAGGTTCTGTAGAGTCATTGGGTTATTTTGATGCAATACGCAGAAAAAAGGTGCAATATCCTAACCTGGACTCGAACCTGAACCTCTCGAATACACATGGATTAGTACTTCCAGTTGCACTTCGAAGGCATACGGAAAGGAGGGAGAAAACAACACATTACATACCACCCCTTTTAGAGGGCGGTTGGCGATAAGGGGACCCTATCGCTAAATCCTGGTGGTGACGAGTTATCGTCCACCGCCTTTCATTTCGGGCGCCATTGTAGAGTCATTAGATTATTTTGAAGCAGAAGATATGAAAAACGTGCAATACCCTACCAGTACTGGAACCCTGGACCCCTAGAATATGCCTCCAGTGTGCTTCCAATTCAAGAAGGCATGCGGAAAGAAGGGAGAAAATACCTTATAATTCCAGGCAACTTGTAAACTGTCACCATCCATTTAGTTTAATTAAGCTAAGACATCTATATGGCATATAAAATTCTCTTGGATTTTCTTTCCTGATCATGGATCATTCTCTTGGATTTCATCAACATTTTTGTATGTCTCTTTCATATGTTAACCACTATCCTAGTCCTGGTCTATGCAATTCTTCTAAGTCTAGATTGCTGTCTCTCAGAAAATCAAGTATATTTTTATCTAATCCTTGTAGTTTCTGTAATAGGTTTCTAACTAACAAGGTGTTCTTTTATTGCAATTTCATTTTGAACATTTTTACCATAATAGTGAACTTAAGTTTCTTTAGACACAACTCGACGTTAATGTTTGCCAAACTTTCCAAACGACTCAACAAAACCTAAAAAAAACACTTTGTGTGATATAAATAATACATCCGAAACTCCTCTAAAAGCTAAACTGCGTTCAGCGAAATACTAGGTTCATTAAAAGTTCTAAAACTTTGCGCCAATTCTTTCATGCTTTTGCCACTTCAGACTGAAGGTTCCTTATCGATAACTTTATTAGTCTGTAATCACAGTGATGTCGTAAACCATTTTCTTAAACATTCCAGGTGGTGTACTGAATTTTAATGTAACTTCATTCCAGATTTGGTTAACCTTGACTTACAAGAGAATCCAAAAGTTCTGCAACTAATTATTATAAGTTTTATTGGTGCTTTCTGAATAAATAAGCCATCTTATAAGAAAACTCTCACCATTGTTTATTTTCCTATTTATATCATTGTCACAGAGAAACTATGTTTATTTTCATCTTTCGGAAAATTCTACTGTTTATCTATAAGTCGAATACCACTGTCTCATCATGAGATCTCCGAAACTATATACCCGACTGACTTGAAATTTTGCATAATTTCTCATTCCACGATGCAGACGCGCACTAAGAACGGATTTTATGTAAATCCTGTCCAAAATGGAATTTTGTTATATAATTGAAGTTTCTCATATATTTGGTTTTCTAATCCAAATTCAGAATTTTCTTTTATTGTTGCCAAAACTAGATATGAAGTACAATGTTGCCAATGAATGCATTTTCCTTTAAAATTATTAAATTGGTAAATAACTTGCATCTATCCGCTGAATACAAACAACATTTAAATGATAAGGTTAATAATAACATATATAGTTAATTGTTATAAGTTACTTGAAAATAAATGTTATTATTAACAGAAATAAATTATTGTGTTGAAAAAATAAAAATGTTATTGTTATATATAAAAGTTGCAAAAAAATCAAGGACAAATAATTTAAAAAATTTGATAACAAAGATAATAATATTTATTTTCATAAAACTTATGATAACAGTTAAATATATATAAATCTTAGTTTTATGTTGGCAATTTTTCATGGTGTAGTCCTGCTGGGGATCTCGCCACGTTAAACAATGGCGACGGATCCCAATACACAGTTCCTAATGGGTGATGGGGAAATCTGTGTATGACAGATTCACTGACTGCCACCATATTTCCAGACTTTAAATTAAAAAAAAATTACCTTATCAATTCGAAATTAGACATTTCGTCCATATAAGAAGTCTAAGTTCACATTCAAGTAGATAGTGTGCCCAGCAAAGCGGGCGGGTATCAGTTAGTTAATAGTATATGGTCCATTCATATTAATGTGATTACTTCCATATTATTATGAATGGACTATATCATATTAAAACCAATAAAAACATCATCTGGACAGTATGCTGGATGATTATAATTAACATTTATTTTAGTTTGAGTTTTTCAAATTTACTTCCAACATTCCCAGTATTTTCGGCTGCAGTATTAAAAGACTAAACCTTCAACCACGTTGCAGTTATGATCTTGATATTTCAACTCATGTATTATTATTTTCTTCGGAACGTACAGTTTGATCTCACAGTCATTAGGTGACATATCTGGACATACATATGGAAGAAACTGAACCTTCATTTTTCCCTATGTGTAGTTTAAGACTGAAGAAATTTGCTACCTTAACTGTTTCTTCTTGCTGAATATGTGCTTTTCTATTTTCATAGCCGCATAATGTTTTTGGAGATATTTTTCAGTCTTAGGAGCAGGAAAAAAAATTAAATAAATCTAAATTGTGTTCACAAAAACCATAAAAATATCATTA